CACCAACAGTGATGTTGAAGAGTGGTGAAATCCCTGCAGGGCAGCAGGCCATACTTATTGACTCAAGTCAAAGCTTATTAGAGCTTCCCAAGATACAAACATAAGCTAGAAGGGTTGAAGTTTTTAAGAGGTCCTCTCATTGCATCACATGCTACAGGCATGTAGCCGGGGGGGGGGGGGGGCTGAGGGGCTTCAGCCCCCCGAAATTCTCGAAAAGGCCTTATTGGTGCATTATTTAAACTGTTATGTTTATTCATATCATGATCTGATCACCATACTCAATATATCCCATATGCATGGGGGTATTTGGGTAATGATACAAAAGGTTTGCTAGGCTAGACCCTCTTTCACTCAGACTCAGCCCCCCCGAAACTCAGCCCCCCCGAAACCCCCCCTGAAAAAAAATTCAGCCCCCCCCCCCCCAAATGAAATCCTGGCTACGGGCCTGACATGCGATATCTTAACAGAACCCATCATGACATAATGTTGGATACCTGTAGTTAATTCACTAATAGGGAAGTTAGCACAATAGATCATATGGCAATTTCTGCCAATTTCATAAATCTGAAATTATCAACCTAGTTGGAAAGTGATCATTTTTCTTTCTTATTGCAATTTAATTTTGAAATGCTTTATTCTCCACATCCTTCTCAAAATCTAAATGGAATTCATGTGTGAAAACTGAGTATATGACTGTCAGTCACTATGAGTATCCTTCACACATTTCAAATTCTTTTGTCAATACATTTTAGAGCAGGGATCCACAACTTTTTAAACAGAGGGCCAGGTCACAGTCCCTCAAACTGTTGGAGGGCCGCATTATAATTAAAAGGAAACATGAATGAATTCCTATGCACACTGCACATATCTTATTTGTAGTGCAAAAAACCCACTTAAATGCAATTAAATAATTAAAATGAAAAATATTTTTAACAAATATAAACTTATTAGCATTTCAATTGGGAGTGTGGGCCTGCTTTTGGATGATGAGATAGGATTGTTGTTGTTGTTGTTGTTGTTGTTGTTGTTGTTGTGTGCTTTCAAGTCGTTTCAGAGCAAGGGCTGGGTAAATGAACTTGGAGGGCTGTATCTGGCCCCCGGGCCTTAGGTTGAGGACCCCTGTTTTAGAGTCTAATTTAGAAAGCTTACAAAGAAAGGAAGAGATTTCCAGCCAGCATACCTTATGAAAATTTGGTTTTGAGTGTTCAGGCAACATTACAAGCCATCCATTGTGTAATGCCTTGGCTCTGACGATGCCCATAGGCAGGAATTTCTGAAATAGGTGGCTTGGAGCCAGGAGTTTCCTCTTTTCATTTGCCACTTTTCTTCCTTATTGTCACTTCTTGTTCACACCCTGCACAACTATGTTAGTGAAGCTATAGAACTTTGGCCCTCCTGTGTGATTTCAGATTGGCTGCATCCAAAACTAATATTTCTTATTAATGGGGAAATTGGCCATTTTGTGGATGAGATGCATTTTATTTTTTCTCCCTACTGCATCTTGCAAAGACAAATCTTTCAAACTAAAGAATGCAATAGGTTCTTTGCAATGCAAAGAAGTTGAATAAAGAAATTAAGTTAAAGCAAAGTGAATTGGCCCTCAATAAATCCATTGTTTGTAAACATCTTAAATCAAACACCAGGAGAGCTAAATAAATAGGTTTTATACCTTTTTCATTTCGAGGCAATATCAAACCACGTTTTCACTTTGTAGCAGTAGATTAAAAGCATATATAAGAAGCATAATCACAAGAAAAACTAAAATGGAAGAGAGGGCATGCCAGTCTATTAAAAAAAAACACTCAAAGTTATTCCCAAGACACTAAATTTTTATTTACAGAATATATTGTGAATAGAATATAGTGCAGAGAATATCTCTAGAACTATGCTCTTAACTGTAAAATGAACAATGTATACTAGGCTTGTACGTTTCAGCAGAACCTCAATCAGTTTCTGTTGGCCAAATTCCAGAAGACCCACAGATCCATTCTTGCATGCCTCCCAAAAACAGGTGGGTTGCCAAATAGCTGTTTCCAGTCTGTAGCCAAAAGATCCAGGAAGATCTGTCCCATTGGAGGGAATGGTGAACTTATGAGGCTCTTCTTTCCATTCCTGGGATCCTTTCTTTTCTTCCTTTCAAGGGAGTCTGGGTATGAGCAATGAGGTTAAGTAAGCATCCTTTCTGAGACCCTTTCCTATCTTCCTTTCAAGGTAGTCTGGGTTTGAAGAATGGGGTGAAGGAAGCATTCTTCTTGGGATCCCTTCTTATCTTCCTTTCAGGGGAACCTGGGTTTTAAGAAAGGGGTTAAGAAAGCATCGTCCCGGGACCCTTTCCTTAGAAACAGTTTGTGTAAGGCATGCATAACAATCCCACCTGGGTGACGCCAGGCTTGACTGTTTAATTATCTGCCTTAGAATCTTTCCATGTATTGATGTTAGGTTGAGTGTGCAGTAATCATTCAATTCTTCTTTGTGAAGATGGAGACATTTATTTCCCATGCTCTCCACATTAGAATAGAGACTGACAACCTCCACCCCCACCACCCAGCTGCTTATGTAACTTTTTTTCCTCTCCCATTGCTGAGTTCATGAACTTCTCATCCAGTTCTGTCCATAACAGTTAGAGTCCATAATTTCTTGATGGACTCTTGGCTACCTGAATTGTGTTTCTCATCCCCAGATAACTTAGTTTAAAGTCCACCTGTGTGGGGTGCAACACATCCCTTGCCATAAACCCAACATCATTACATCTCAGACCATGGTCCATGAAGCCAAATTGTTCTCAGCAGCACTATCTGCAAAGCCAGTTACTCACTTGTATTTTTTTCCATATCTCCCTGGGCCCTGTAATTAGGAGGAGAGATGACAAGATGACCTGGGTATCAAGACCCGTCAGCTTCCTGCTCATAGCCTTGTAAACCTATGCAGCCCTTTACAGTGTCATTTGTTCCCACGTGGACCAAAAGGAAGGGGTAATGGTCTATGGGCTTGTTGGCCTCTCCATTTTACATCATGGATTTTTCCCCAGGCAGATAGAAAACCTCTCAAAGTTATCCTGCCAGGCCTTGCAAACAACTGTTTCTGTTATCAGCAAGGAGTTCTCTACCACCACTACACATCTCTTTACAGATTTGGAAGAGTGTTGACAAGCACCTTTTCACCTCTTGCTGTTTCACATCATTGATGCTGAAGACAGCTTTGAATCAATTGTGCACATCCAAACTCACAGAGCCCTTCTTCTTCTGAGTGTCACTTTCTTCCAAGTGTTTACCTCTTGTTATTGCTAAAAGACCCCCTCCCCCAAGAAATCATCTGTGTCTTCTTCTTCCTAATATTGTGAGTATGGCTATAGGGTCCTTAAAGTGCTGTAACTTCTCTTTTCGATCAAAACTGAAGCACTTTTTTCTAGGTGTCAGAAAAATAATTCCTGGTTTTCCCTAGGACCACAACCATATTTCAGTATAGAGCCTAAAGTCTTTTGGATCTTCTTTTCAAGTGAAATTTGAAAAAATAGGATCCTTCTTGTACTCCACTTCATAGAAAGGACAAGTCTTTAAATATATAACTATAGAACAGAGGTTCTCATCCTGTGGGTTTCCAGGTGTTTTGGCCTACAACTCCCAGAAATCCCAGCCAGTTTACTAGCTGTTAGGATTTCTGGGAGCTGAAGGCCAAAACATATGGGGACCCACAGGTTGAGAGCCACTGCTATAGAAGGATGTCACTGAATAGCCAGTTGTTAATTGTAGAAAACAGTTGCTACATTTTCATACTTTCTACAGACTCTCCAAGAAGTATCCCCATGGTTATATGTCTCATTTTCCACGCAATAGAAAAACAATTCCTTTGTCTTGCAGAAGATTGGTACAGAATGATCTCCTTCATTTGTATTGAAACTTGAGCCAACTGAGACGAGCTCAAACTATCTTGAAACCTAGCTCTATACTTAGGATCTCCAAAGGCAGGCTGCTTAAAACATCCATTTTTTTTCACTTTTCAAATTTATTTAATCTGGAAAGAGCATTTATACAACTTTTCAGGTGATTAGAAATAATGTTAATTTCTGGGTTGTTGTAGGTTTTTTCGGGCTATATGGCCATGGTCTAGAGGCATTCTCTCCTGACGTTTTGCCTGCATCTATGGCAAGCATCCTCAGAGGCAGTGAGGTCTGTTGGAACTAGGAAAAAGGGTTTATATATCTGTGGAATGACCAGGGTGAGACAAAGGACTCTTGTCTGCTGGAGCTAGGTGTGAATGTTTCAACTGATCAGTGATTCCGGCCATGAAAGCCTTCGACAATACAATGTTAATTTCATTTTATTCAATACAATTTAATTCAATTAAATTGTCTTAGATGAGTTCCCTTTATTAGAATAAGTGCAGGTGACGCTCCACCCAAAGAAAGTTACAAGTTTTCGAAAAGAAATACATCTGTATAGTAGGAAAATGATCTCAGTGACTTCCATGTATGAGGACAGAAACACTACTAGAAGTGTTTTGCTTTCCCAGGGATTGCTTAATATGATTGTCCTAGAATTTGGGGAGCCTCTGTGAACATTTGAGGCATTTTTGCTGTTCAGTAATTATTATTATTTAAGCTCCAAGGCAGATAACTACCCAACCTGTGCTTACTGAACTATAGAAACAGATGTCAATAGACATAATCACTAGTTAAGTGAGTAATGTGCTCATTTGAAGTGGCAACTGGACTTTGCACAAATTAACTCTCATTGTGCTAAATATTTCTTTCTAGGGGTTGTAACGGCACAGGTGGGTGGGCATAGTTGCCTGAAAACAGAGAAAGAAAATCCATTGTGCAAACATCTTTCAATTATGGATTTAATGATCCTGATGCCCCTCTTGCCATTTTTTTTATGTTGTTGATGTAATGGATTCACGGCTGCGACTGACATTAACCCGGGCAGTTGTTCAGCTTGTTTAAATTGGCAGGCCTCCAAAGAAGCCAATGAGATAATTCAGATTTACATGCTGGCCAAAAGCTGCAATGCTTGCTTCATATGGTGGGCATTTGTCTACTGTTAAATAATGGTAACCAGCTGGCCCATTTTGCCCAGGACAGCTGCTTGATCCAGTCATTGGAAATGGAGTGAGGGAAGGAGAGGTATGTATGACGTTCTGAACATCTTGACTCCACTCTTTCCTGCACAGGTTTTTTTTTCCTTGTAAAAATTAACTTTTCTGAGTGGAGAAGTAGCTTTTCTTTTTCTATCTGACGCAAAATTAACTGAGTCATGTAGGAAGCAATGCAAGAGAAAAAAAATCATCTGTTGACTCACAAGTGTCTCAAAAACAAGTCAGGCCAGATGAACTTTTTTTGTTGTTGATAGAATTACAGATTAAAGGAATGTTGTGGATATAGCATATCTTGAATTCAGCGAGGCCTTTGACAAGTTTCTCTATGGCATTCTCACAAAATATCTAATAAAATGTGGACTCGGAGCAATGGACTCAAATTGCAGGTGAAAAGAGTCCACTTCGACAATAGGAAGACTTTCCTGACAAAATGGGCTGTTCAATAGTGGAATGTCCTTCTTTGGAGGGTGGTAGTGTCTCCTTCTTTGGAGGTTTTTTAAGTAGAGGCTGGATGGCCATCTGTTGGGAGTGGTTTGATTGTGCATTCCTGCATGGCAGGGAATTAAACTGGATGGCCCTTGATGCCTCTTCCAATTCTTTAGTTCTATAGTTCTAATGCAGTGGTTCTCAACCTTTCTAATTTTTTCTCTCATGTCAGGAGCAACTTGAGAAACTGCAAGTAGCTTCTGGTGTGAGAGAATTGGCCATCTGCAAGGACATTGCCCAGGGGACACTCAGATGTTTTGATGTTTACCATCCTTGTGGGAGGCTTCTCTCATGTCCCCTCATGGAGAGCTGGAGCTGATAGAGGGAGCTCATCCGCGCTCTCCCCGGATTCGAACCAGTGAATTGTTGGTCTTCAGTCCTGACGGCACAGGGTTTAACCCACTGCGCCACCAGGGCCTCACTTTCTAATGATGCATCCCCTTAATGCAGTTCCTCATGTTGTGGTGATCCCCAATCATAAAATTATTTTCATTGCTACTTCATAACTGTAATTTTGCTACTGTTATGAATCGTAATATAAATATCTGATATGCAGGATATATTTTCATTCACTGGACAAAATTTGGCAAATACCCAATACACTCAAATTTGAATACTAGTGGAGTTGGGGAGGGATTGATTTTGTCATTTGGGAGTTGTAGTTGATGGAATTTATAGCTAACCTACAATCAAAGGGCATTCCAAACTTTACCAACGATGGAACCAAACTTGGCACAAGTGCTCCCATAACAAACAGAAAATACTGGAAGGGTTTGGTGGACATTGACCTTGAGTTTTGGAGTTGTAGTTCACCTACATCCAGAGAGTACTGTGGACTCAAACAATGATGGATCTGGACCAAACTTGGCATGAATACTCAATATGTCCAAATGTGAACACTGGTGGAGTTTGGGGAAAATAAACATTGTCATTTGAGAGTTGTAGTTGTTGGGACTTATAGTTCAACTACAATCAAAGAGCTTTCAGAACCTCACGAATGATAGAATTGGGCCAAACTCCCCACACAGAACCCCCATGACCAACAGAAAATACTGTTGGTCATGTTGGACCCCTCTGATCCCCCCCCCCAAACTCCAGGGTCCTGACCTCCCAGTTGAGAAACACTGTTCTAATGAAAGAGAAAAAAGATGCGAAGAAAGGACAATCACTAAACAGAAAAGAAACATTATGCAGTCCTTAAAAGGAACATGTATCACATTAATAGTCAGTAAACTCCAGGAATGATAGAAGCACGCTCTGCAGATGTTTGCTGCATAATCATTTGCTGTGTTTTTCCTGTGACAAATATCCTTACTCTGATCATTGTGAGCTGCATTTGAAGGAAATGGGTCTGCTTGTGCACACAGCGTCCGTCATCTGACAGCAGCCAAACTGCCTCTTGCAAAGTAGTTTAGCTCCAAATGAGCTCGCTCCAGTGTTAAATACCAGCTTGCTTCAGAGATCTTGGTGACAAATACCATATATATCCATAACATTCAGGAATTTGAAGCATATGTGCCAGTAAGCTGAGATTTCTTTTTCCAGGATTACAGTGTTACTCCAGGCTTTTGGAATCGACTTGGAAATTGCATTTATAAAAACCTTCCACCGCTGTTTATGGGATTATCTCAAAATCTAGCACTACAAGGAATTCAGAATACTATGGGTAGAAGGGTTTGATTAATAATTCCATGAAAGTAACTTGACACGTGGATGTGATAAACCCAGTAAAGTTGGCAAGCAAGGACATATGTGTCCATACAAATATTGTATTTTTCTTAGAAAGCATGACACATGGGGGGAGGGAGCGGTTTAGAGGAACATACCTGCCCCGTGGCAAAATTGCATGAAAAGGCCCTGGTGGTACACTTGTGGCATGGAGTGATTTATCTTTCACCCAGTTTAACTGTAATGGGAAATGTGTAATCAATTTAATAATTGTGTTTATTGTTTAAAAGAGCAAAAGAACATCTCAACAGCTATCCTCAACTGACTTACACCTAATAAGTTAAATCCATGCTTCAGAAATGTAACAATACTGCTGTTTTTTATTAAAAAATGAGGATATTTCTATTTTGCTTGGGAGGGATTTATGGAAAATAGCAAGTAAAGTTTGTTGATTTATTATGTTCAGGATTTATTATGTTCACCATACCACATGTCACAAAATTGTTGTTGTTGTTCATTCGTTCTGTGAGGTGCAAGTCATCCCTTGCAAGAAATCCAGCATCATTAAACCTCAGACCATGTTCCAGGAAGCCAAATCATTCCTGGTGGCACTATCTGTGATTCACTTTATTATCCTTCTGCATTGGTTCTGAAATATCTGAAATATGAAGAGCAGTCCAGGTCCAGCCTGCAGATTCTCCTCTGAAATGGGCAATCTCTCATTTCTTCTAGAGAATAAGCCCTACCAGAACCACCACTAGCAAATAGCTTTTTCTCATGCTGTATTGTGATGTTATTTATTTGTTCAGTCGCTTCCCACTCTTTGTGACCTCATGGATCAGCCCACGCCAGAGCTCCCTGTCAGCCGTCAACATCCCCAGCTCCAAGGTCAATCCAGTCACTTCAAGGATGCCATCCATCCATCTTGCCCTTTGTTGGCCCCTCTTCCTTTTTCCTTCCATTTTCCCCAGCATCATTGTCTTCTCCAAGCTTTCCTTTCTTTTCATGATGTGGCCAAAGTACTTGATCTTTGCTCTAGTATCCTTCCCTCCAATGAGCAGTCGGGCTTTATTTCCTGGAGGATGGACTGGTTGGATCTTCTCGCAGTCCAAGGCACTCTCAGAACTTTCCTCCAGCACCACAGCTCAAAAGCATCTATCTTCCTTCGCTCAGCCTTCCCTAAGGTCCAGCTCTCACATCCGTAGGTGACTACAGGGAATACCATGGCTTTGACTAGGGAATGGATTTTAGTAGGGCTGGGCGGTTTCGTTCGTTAATTTCGTAATTCGTTATTAATTCGTTTTTTTTTTAGAACAAAGCGATATTGAACCATTCAGGAGCAACTAAAAAACGAAACGAATTTTCCAATTCGTTTCGTAATTGTTTCGAAATCGTTTCGTAATTGTTTCAAAATTGTTTTGTTATTATTTCGTTATTATTTCCGTATGTCTGGTGCAAGTTTTATAGTCGTTGTTTGTTTTATCAGCTTCTTCCGGTTCCGGTATGGTGGTTGGCAGCAAAAACGCTATGCTGCTCAGCCAAATTCTTAATCTGGAGGAATCCTGAGCCTCCCCCTCGCCCACCACCCGCAAATCGAGGGTGAGAGGAACTCTAAGCCTGGACCCCCCGATAGAGGGGAGGAGAGCCGAGAAAGAGCCACGAAAAGCCAGAAAAAGCGGAGAGGGAGAAGGGAGAAGGAAACACCCGCCGCCATCTTACTACGGCCTACCTTGCGGCCTACCCAGCCTACCCAACACTGTGGCCTAGTCTACACCGCCGGCGCCGCTCGGTCCCCGGGCCTGGCGGGACAGACCGCTGCTGTCGACGCCGCTAGCCCCGTCTCCGCTGCCACCAGCCGCCGAGAGGTGAGGCCGGGAGCTGTCGCTGGGCCGCCGCCGGCAGCCGGGGAGAGAAGCCGAGGGCTGCTCGGCCAGACCGCCAGGCCGCCGCCAGATTGCTGCCGCTGCCGAGTCATCGCCGGCAGCCGGGGGGGGGAGGTTGTACGCGGCTGAACGCGGCTTAGCCGCCGCCGGACCACCGCCGCTGCCAAACCACCCCACTGCCGGCACCCGAGGGGAGAGGCCGAGTGCGGCCTGGCCCCCCGCCGGACCGCTGCTGCCGCCGAATCATCGCCACCGCTGGCGGCTGGGGGGGAGAGGCCCGGCGGCTGGGGGGAGAGGCCCGGCGTTGCCTGCCGCCGCCAGATCGCCGCCGCCGCCGGCCAGTGCCGCCGCCAGCAGCTGGAAGGAGGGACCAAGCGCTACCTGGCCACCGCCAGACCACCGCCGCGGCAGATCCACCGCCACCGCTGGCAGCCGGTTACAGGGGGAGAGGCCAGATTGCCGCCGCCGCCGAGTCATCACCAGCGCCGGCAGCCGGGGGGGGAGGCTGAACGCGGCTGAACGCGTCTCGGCCGCCGCCGAACCACTGCCGCTGCCGAACCAACCCACCGCCGCCAGCCGAAGGGAGAGACCGGGCGCGGCCTGGCCCCGCCGGTTGTCGCCGCCGCCGCCGAACCATCGTCACCGCCGGCGGCTGGGGGGGGAGAGGCCTGGCGCTGCTTGCCGCCGCCGCCGCCGGATCGTTATCGCCGTCCGCAGCTGGAAGGAGGGTCCAAGCGCTGCCTGGCCGCCGCCAGTCCACCGCCGCGGCAGTTTCACCGCCACCGCTACCGGCCGCCGAAGGGAGCGGCTGAGTGCTGCCCGGCTGTTGCCGGGCCGCCATTGGGCCGCCCCCCAGATCATCATCTCTAGCGGCCTCTGAAAATAGCTGCCGGCCGCCATTAGCTGCCGGTCGCTAACCCCCCCATTGCTGTTACTGCTGACTGCTGGCCGCTGAGGAGGGGAGAGCTGTAACTGACTCCTTGTGTATGAAGAGCTGAAATTGACTTCCTTGTGTAGACCGCTACATATAGATCTTATTCTGGCCTCTCCTGTAGATCCTGTAGTTTTTGTGTAAAACCTTAAGTTGGCTTGTTATACTGATATATACTGAGCAAGAGTGTGACCAACCAGCTGTGCTGCCCCACCTCCGAGTAACCACCTCCGGAAGCCCATCTGCTGGTATACCAACCGTCCAGAGATTTACTGGGGTCATAGCAATACTTAGCCAATTATAACTAGGCCCCACCCCATAACGAGGGTGATCGTATATTACCAACTAGTTCATTCCTGGCTGCCATCTGTGGTTATCTGTCGCCATGGGGATAAGAACGGAATAGAGTACTAGGCGCCTACCTCTTTGCTGCTAGATTGCACCAGCACTCTGATTTCCTGGCTGCAGTCTGCATCTGCAGTAATCTTTGCACCTAGAAATGCAAAGTCTGCCACTGTCTCTACGTTTTGGTCCAGCTCTCACATCTGTAGGTGACTACAGGGAATACCATTGCGGATCTTCGTTGCAAAATTAGGCAGAAGCAAAGAGTCTGCACATTATTATTATTATTATTTGCTTTATTTCTATACCACATTTTTCAGCCCTTAACAGCTGCTTTGAGTCCTCTTTGGGGAGATAAAGCAGGCAAATAAATAAATAAATATGATAATAATAATAATTTTCAAATGGGATCATCAGGTGACTTGATGTGATTGGATTTCACCCAGCACTGTTGCTGTTCAGAGGAAGAGGCTCTAAACTCATACATCCTGTTTTGGGGCTTCTTGGAGGCTTTGGCTCCCTGTGTTAAGAAATCGGTTACTGGACAAGATAGGCCCTTGTCCTAATATGCAAGATTCTTGTCATTTGCTTTTACAAAAATAATAAAATAATAGGAACTTGAGTATGTTTGGCATTGAAAGTGGTTTATGTGCTTCATCATTTCCTTTTAGCCCTGAAGCAACCCCAGACACAATTTTCTTGCTTTCAGCAATAACTGTGACTTGCAATCTCGAAACACATACTCTTTATTGTTGTAATTGTTTTGTTCTGTCAGGTGCTGCGTTATCTGTTCAATGCAGCTCTTTTATAATATTCACTTCTCTTCGGTTGATGTGGCAGAAAAATATTCCAGCATCATTGCTACTGCCTTGAGTTCTAATGTTTCTGAGCTTGCTTGGGATTGTGTTGTTATTTGTTCTTTAAAGAAGAGCAAAAAGAACAGCTGCAAAACTAAAATGAAAGTTACACCCAGAATATGGTCCTTTTATTTTTATTGGTGATTCTAGGAGCTGATGTAAAAGAAAGCCATATCTCAGGATTTTTGTTTTTCAGATGAGCCCCAATGGGTTTGAGAGCAACCAATTGCCAGGCATAAGATCAGTGTTCCTCAACCTTCCTAATGCCACGACCCCTTAATACAGTTCCTCATGTTGTGGTGACCCTCAACCATAACATTATTTTCATTACTACTTCATAACTGTAATTTTGCTACTGGCTTTTCAAGCAAGCATTTGCAAATGCAATGCAACAGGCAGAGATAGACCCACGGAACGGTTGGGTGATGTGATTGAGTAAGGAGACACCGAGGATATATGTTTTTATTGTATTTATATGGATTTATATTTTATATGCTAATGTTTTAAGTGTTTTTATGTTGCTGGGGGGGGGCACCAAATTGTGTTGAATGTAAACCGCCATGAGTTGCTCACGGGCTGAGAAGGACGGTATATAAATGCGGTAAATCAATAAACTCTCAAGGCTCTCTGTTGAAATTCCAACAGAGAATTTGTTGTTTGGTAAGATTTTATATATACAATGCATTCTTATCCTGTACAAGACTTAGACCACAACTTACCAAGGACGTGTTTTGCCTCCTGACGCATGGAGTTTGAGAGTTGCTGTTTTTGGTGCATCCAATGGCTCCCACTGTTAACACAGCTGCCCATTTGAAAGATGGCTTTATCGGTTTGGAGTGCCAGCTTAGCAAGGCTGGAATGGTATTTCATTTAGGCCATTACATAGGAGTAAGGTGGTCCTTCCTTATAATGACCCCTTTTTGTAAACCATACAAGTCATGCCTAAGATGTACAGGTCATCTTATCTGACTAAGCTGTTTATAATCTTTCCAGGAGGAGGAATACAGCTCAGGACCTCAGTAACAAACCAGTGTGGCCCTGGGATACATATTCAACTAAAAGCAACAAGAAGAGGTATCTCACATCTCATGCAAAGAACCTTAATATACCTGCAGATGTGAACAGAACTGAGTGGCATACTCTTAATGTATATAGACAGGACATCTCTTAGACAGGACATCTCCATTTACTAGAGCTGCTTCCAAGTTTGTATGAAACTGTGACTTTTATTTCATGTGCTGGTCTATGATCGAAATAAATGATTTGATTTGATTAGAGCTGCTTCTGTTTCATATCTACCGTATTTTCCAGCGTAGTAGACGACTGGGGGTATAAGACGACTCCCAACTTTTCCATCTAAAATTGAGTGTTTAGGATATACTCGCCGTATAAGACCACTCCTCTTTTTTGTAGTAGTTTGAGAGAGCTTTCTTCTCTCAGGGCTTGAGGGTCATCATGACAGAGGCTCATGATGAGGGAAACCCAGCATAGGTCTGCGGCAGCGGCGCAAACAACCCAGCAGTCTCCATGGCAATGCAGCTTGCCGCTCCTCTCTGCGCCTTCTCTCCCTCCACTCTCTCCCTCCCTCCTTCCTTCCTTCCTTTCCTCCTCCTCCTCCTTCTTCTCCTGCCACAACTGAGGAGGAGAAGAACTTTCTTCACTCCAGGCTTGAGGGTCCTCTTCTGCCGGAGATTCATGGAGAGACAGAGCCACTAGGCTGATGGTGGCGGAACAGCCCAGTGGTCTCAGTGGCAATGTGGCTTGCTGCTCCTCCTCTTCATGTGCTCCCTCCCTCCATCCTCCTCCTCCTCCCTCCCTCTCTCCTCCTCCTCAGGCCATGCCACTCGGGATGCCAAGGGTGGAGGAGGTGGGCAGCTGTGCTCCTGCTGGAGCAGGGCACTCGAAGCAGCTACACCTGCTGTGTCTCTTCAGCACCGCTTGGCTCCCACTGTTGGACCAGTCTCCTTGAGGGACTCCTGCACTCCATGCCCATCTTGGTGGAAGAGGAGGAGGAGGAGACGTAAGGGAGCCACTGGGCAACAGAGAGGAGGAGGAGGAGAAGCCACCAGGAAGACTTGAGGCTTTTGCTTTGCATCTACCCTTTAAGCAACATTTACACATCCCTTCCAAAATATTTAATATAATACATTTTATACCCAGCATATTAGATGACCCCCGACTTTTGAGAGGATTTTCCAGGGTTTAAAAATTGTCTAGTATGCCGGAAAGTACGGTACTTCACACATAGGCATTAGTGGATCTCAGTACTCAAGCTAAACACAGGAACTTACATTTTGGGATCCCCAAATGCTTATCAGAGGGCCGTTCCATATAGCCCTATATCCCAGAATATCAAGGCAAAAAAAATCCATATTATTTGAGTGTGGACTCAGATAACCCAGTTCAAAGCAGATATTGTGGGGTTTTCTGCCTTTATATTCTGGGATATAGGGCTGTGTGGAGGGGTCCTGGAACTGTATTCTGAGATCAGAGTAAAAGAAGCTTTCTTGCTTGTGTTAGAAGTCACAGGCAAAGGGTAGGGTAAAAGGGATGAGTGTGGCAAACAAGAAGAGTCCATGCAGTTAAAATGCAAATAATGGGGTTCCCTCATCCTAAACCTGTTTATTCAAAAAAACCCAAAAGGTCAGTTCCGAATTTCATATTCTTATTTCAATTAATATTTATCATAAAAAAGCAGAAGAAGCAAGAGAGGAAATATTACAGTTTATGTGTTTTGATATTTGCCATACTCTTTCAAAATACAGTGTTCAGCTGTATGCCTTAGGTTACATATCTGCTGGAAATCCATTTTTTATCTAATTTGTCTGAGATCTAAGCTTCCTGTGGAGGTCTGAGATCAAAGGATTTGATTCTTTCTGATGTTGGCTCTGACACGTAATGCGTGCTGACTTAGTTCTGTCTATAAAATCGCAGTGGGAGGCTGCTGCTCTCCCTTGGCTCCTTTACACAGTGAACTTTCATTTGGACTGGTGAGGGTGGCAGGCACCATATTGATTGGAGTCAGTGTGTAAATAATTAATGGACAGGGCTTTTTTTTCCCATGCAAAAGGGAACTCTAGACTTTTGGATACTTTTCAAAAGAAATGATTGCAATTTCATTGAAAATCCCCTCTATGTTAAAATTTAAATAAGAATAACAATTTCTTAAGCAAATATAATAAGCATGACAAGGAATGTCTAATCCTTGAATTTCCCCCTGTCTAAAGTGATATTGGTTTTGAAACTGAGAGAGCATCAAAGTTAGTTATTTCTATTTTGTTTATGCCAAATAATTTCCTAAGAGCAAACTGCGGTTTTGATTTAACATTCTTTTAAAATGTTATGATATTTTAAGTTTGGATTAGGGATGTAAGGCAGCTAGACCATATTAGAAATTATTATAATGTGAAACTTCCGGGTGAGCCACGATGGCGGCAAGACGGGTGCTCTGAGAGCTCCGAAGAGTACCAACCTCTCTCCCAGTTGGCGGGCGTTGCTGCCCCCACCCCTGAGACGGATYGAGGTCTCGGGGGTCGCTAAACCAGGCAGTGGTAACCGATGGCCTCATAAGACCCCYTCCCCTCAAGGGCAGGGGCCGAGTGGGTCCGGTAAAACACTGCGGTAAGCGGACTGGGGAGAAGGGAAGCTGGCCGACAGGCCAGCATTCAATGCCAGCCCCGCTCACTTTTAAAGACAAAGAAGAATTGAGAAACGAAAGCTGGAGAGGAGACCAGCCATAAGGAAACGTAAGTGCCTTAAAAAAAAATAATCAACTTCTCTATGGAAAACAATTCTTATCTCCGAAGATAAAAGAGTTGATGGGTGAAACAGAGAATCAGTAAAGAGAAAACTATATTCCTCTATTGCCCCCTTTCCATTGGGTAAAGAAGGAAGGAAGGAAAGGAGAGCAAACAGACTGAAGCCGAGACCACATAGAAATAATATCTGATGAATGGGAGTAATAGAATTACCAGATTGATTGACTGAGCCTGGATAGATCTGCCACACAAACTGGTCGGAACCAGACGAACCTGATATAGGAACAGTGCATAGACCAATCTAAGATATTAAATATTAAATATTCAGCCTTGGTTTCAGACCGCCTAAAAAGTATTGGAGCAAGCAATCTAAAAGACAAATAACTAAATTAAATAATCAAATAAGAAGGCAGAAATATTGCAGAGTACAAAAAGTACACCGCTGACCTTGAAGTGAGATTGTTGTGTCTTCGGCCGCAGCCCTTGTTATAAATAAAGGAGTCTCCTCTGAGAGAAAGCGGAGAGAGGGAGGAGACAAACTCCCACGCGGAGGAGCCCAGAGAAAATACCGCGAGGCAGAGGAAAACACGTGAGAAAGAGTAAGGAAAGACGAGAAGATAAGAAAAGCACGCGATAGAACGCGAGAAAAGACGGGACTTGAACAAACAAGGGCGGAAGTGCAGACAAAGAAGGGCGGAAGTAGAAGAGAGAGATAAAGAGATATAGAACTAGGAATACAAGAGTGACGAACCCAAGAGGAGCTTAGGAGAAAATCACGGAAGTGAAACAAATAAACAAAAGACCCATAGAGAGACAAAGCAGAAGAGAGAGATAAAGAGATACAGAACTAGGAACATAAGAGTGACGAACCCAAGAGGAGCCTAGAAGAAAGACACGGAAGTGAAACAGACCCATAGAGAGACGAAGCACTGCGAAGAGAAGGAAAAGCGAAATTCTAAATTCTAAATAAAGAGAAGATACTAGAAGAAAAGGAAGAGAGAGATAATAACAGTAAAAGAAAATAACAATAAAGATAATAATAACAATAAAAAATAATAACAAATAATAATAATAAAATAAAATAAAATAAAATATAATAAAAACAAAAACATAAAGAAGGACCAGAGACAAGAAGACTAGAGAGCCAGATCCTGACAAATAAAACAAATTGAACTGTATTTTTCAGCAAACGAAGAGAACCATAAAGAAAGATGACAACGCCGAAAGCAAAAATGGAAAAAGAGTTGAAAGAAGCGAAAGAAGTAAGGGAATTGAAGGGACAACAACAACAAAGGAAAACCTCAGGTGCAGAAGAGAGTATATTAAGTCAACTACTAAAGGAAATCCAAAAAATATCAGAGAAACAGGATAGTTTACAAAAGGACTTTGAAAAAAACACAACAAAGCAGGAAGAACAACAGAAAATATTCAGAGAGGACATGCTAAGAATGAATAAAGAATTAAATGTAGAAATTGGATCAGTCAAAGAAGAGATGAAGCAAATACATAAAGAGATTAAGGAGATAAAGTCTGACAAAGCAAAAATAGAAGAATCTCAAAAGACACTTGAGAAGGCGGTTCAAAAGATAGAAACAAAGAGTCTAAAGATGGAAGAAGAACAAGAAAAACAAGAAATAAAAGAGATGGAATTCCAACTACGGTTTAGGAATATTGTGGAAGAAAATAAAGAAGACATAAGACAAATAATAATAAATTTGGTCGCTCCACTACTTCAATTAGAACAAGGAGAGGCGGACAAAGAGATTGATAGAGTGTTCAGGGTAACCACGAACTTCTCAAAAAGAAATAATACCCCAAGAGATACTATAGTATATTTTGTGAGAAGAAAAACTCGTGATGACATCTTGAAAGAGAAAAGCAGGACACCAATACTCTACAAAGAAAGAAAAGTGAAAATAATGAAAGAATTCCCCCACTCGATCCTTAATAGAAGAAGGAAATATTTTTTTCTAACTGAGGAACTGAAAAGAAGACAGATAAGATTTCGATGGGAGAAAGTGGAAGGATTGATGGTGACATACAATGAGAAAAAATTCTGGTTAACCTCTGAAGATAAGGCACAACAGTTTTATAAGGATTTAAGAAAGGAAAAGGATGATTCACCTACAAAACGCAATTCTACGGGAAGGAAAAATAAGAAGAGACGCTTCTCATCTCCGGAAGTGATGATGAAGGCACTCAGACAACAGATACTTGACCGTGACAAAACTGAAACAACCGAAGATGAGTCAGAAGAACCACGAGAATCCGAAAGTGAAGGAATTAACTAAACAAATAAAATGTATCTCTTTAAAT